ACCTCGGGAGCTGTCTCAGCGCTAATGGATGAAATATGCGCGTCTCCAAGGATCGGGTTGCATCTGCTATTCTCCGCCATATGTGGCGTCGAGGCGATCTGTGTCTATATCTGAAGGGCCAAGTAAACAATACCGTGTTGAGAGCGGTCCAGCATTTTGGCTGAGACTTAGCCTATTCGCGAAATGGATGTTGAGAGGTTGTCTGCTTTTAATCACCGTTGCCTTCGGAGCATTGCCGTTGTACGATGGCAACATCACACTGGTAATGCGGAGGTTTGATGGAGGATTTTTAGATCAGACATATTGCGAGTCAATGGGGAGCATAATTTGACTGCGCAGACTTTCATTGGCTTTAGAATGTGACAAGCAAGTCTACTCATAGCTTACCTCGCCGCGCCCTCTTTGCGGGCGCAGTCGGCCGGAAACGAAAGCAAGGTGACCAGCGTATGAGTTGGGCCAGAAACATAAAGGAAGTAGCCTCTAAGTTAGCCGTGGTCTAGCGCTCTTGACCCCCGAATACGCATGACTGTAAACCCTCTCGGATATGTCCAGAAACCGTGCGCAATGGGGGAAATGTTGTGATATACCTTTCCCATGAACATTGTTTTATGTGTTCCCACCTCTTCGTTTGTCTATTGTATTTCCCATACGTCATGTTATTTTGCCAAATGTACGATAAGTCGTGTTGCACACACACCAAAATCGTCCGCATAGTCAAGATAAACCAGCTGTGCATGAAAAAGCACACCGACTGGTGCATGATTCTATGAAAGGACCCTCCATGATAGAGTGAACGATGAAAGTGAACAATAGCGGGGAAATGGTACAACCCGAAAGCCAGTTCTTATAAGAACATTCGACAAGTAACCGTATACGCTGACACAACCTTTAATGTTTGATTATAGGACACGAAAAGTGCTCACATATTTCATTTTAACACCTTTCCGCCCAAGTTTTCCGAACAGGATGGATCGATCAACTGAGTCGAACACAAACATAGAATCGATGAACACAGCTATTGCCGGTCTGAGGCGTGTGACGATGCTCTAGTAGTAATAACAGTGGATGTGGTCTATACACCTGCCGAATCTTCCCTAATCCGAGATTCCCGTGGCTTAGTGCACCGACGAAGAATTAAGGCCAGTAATTTTGTCACCACCCATGTGGTTAATAGTCGGTGTGACTGCACATCTTCTGTATCGCCACTATGAGCGCTTCAACTGTCAGCGCTATGCATAGCCTCGTTGACATAAATAATGCGGATTCAAGAGAATCCGAACCAGCAACCCGAGTACGACTGAAGATTGTGATCGCAATTAGGACCTCAGCCTCTGATAGAGCATCTAAACTAACTATCCATGGCTCACCTGAGTAGGAAGAGGTCCAGGAACAGGGAACCAACTGGACTGCACTCTAAGTGCTCCGCACAACCAGCCAGATAGCGCATCTTATAGCGGATCGGGCCACCCTCGCACTCACTGACGACTGGTCTCATTGGATCAGTGGTGGGGATCAATTTGTCTACTGAAACCAATTTCTCCATTTCTTGAGCCCTACTGGTCCAACAGGCTTCCTTGTCCGGTTACACTGTGCTTAGAGTCAGCATGAAGCGTTCTTCTAAATTGCAACAGGTTCATCAAGCTCTTGGATATTAAAACAAAACAGCTCAATGTCACTTGGGCGAGTGAGCGAAAGTTCGGCATGCAAGAATATCCTGGTAAGCTAGCTTGATCGAGAACTGGGATAACACCTCAGTATCTCAATGGATCAAAGAGGTACACAAAGCATCACACCACGTTTGGATCCCGTCTTGCTGTGATATTCATCGGAGTTGTAATGATTGGCTGACTTCGCCATCAGTAGACTGGGACCGATGTTGGGATAGCCATCAACCCTGGTCTAGAGTGGTAAAATTGTGCCATACGCCTCGTAGCTTCAAAACGGAGTGTTGCTGCGGAACCACTAGCCACGTGAGAGCGAGGTATTGGAAGTAGTTGATCAATTCACTTATCATCAGGACACATTAGCTGAAGGAGAAAAACATCTGTCAATTGTTCCATAGCACAAGATACATGGAGAAAGCGAGATAACGAACTTGGTGAAGAACAAAAACGAAGTAACAAACCGCAAGTGCGATATCATCCATGCAGATACCGATTTTTTGGGGAGGGGATAAGCTGGATGGAGAGGGGACACAAACGACAATGATGTCCGCTCCGTGGCATGTCAAGTAGTGTATCCAACCAAACGTGTTCACGTCCTTCGGGCCACAGTCCATCAGTCGGGTGAGATCAATCGACGTTAATTCCGAAGTGGAAGTCCTCGTTCCTCTTAACCAAGCAATCGCTTAGCGTCCCCTCCTTTTCTCCGGTTCAGACACCGTCGCGCAAACAACGCACAAAGCCAGAGTCGGTGTGCTGAGATGCGCAACAGGCGGCCCAACCATCAGAGATTGGAGCATGATATAACGCTGAGCGGTGCACTCTTTCTTACTGCGCAAATTATACAATGCCGCTCATTGCTCACGCAATGTTCCTACCAAACATGAGCCTTGCGGTGAAAGCAGCGATGATCGAACGTTACTAGCCTCTTTACGTCTGTCGATCTGATTGGCCAAGTTTCGCAACCGTACAAAAGGGTTGAACACCTGGCTGCACTGTAAACTCTGTCTTACAAGACCAGAGATGCCACGCCAGCGCCACAGGTGGCGGAAATTAGGAGGAGCGCCTCAAATGTTTGCTATATATTTTGGAGACCTAATCTTATGTTCCACAGGCGCAAATATTGTCTTCTCGGCGCTTATATTTCTGTGACTCCTAGCTGATTACTCTAAAAAGTCAGCGCAATAATGGGTCCCTGAAAATCTTGGATAACTTTGCCTTTCGACGATGCAAAAGATAGCCCAAAACGATTGACAGCCAGTGCTGCCTCGCACATTTTGTAGCTGTTACAAGTTAGCACAATGTCGTCAGTAAACTCGAAGTCAAGAAGTCGCTCTACACTTTCCAAATCATGTCCAGTGAACGCCATTTCTATGACTTCGTTGATGGCAAAGTTATAAAGGAAAGGTGACAGCGGGCTACTTTGTCTAAAACCGCTGAGAACATAAGAGGGCGGTGACAGTTTGCCAAAAGCCCTAACTCAGTCCGAACTATGCGCATATAGCGCACTGACAATGCCTAGATATTTCCTGGGCACAACTTTCCTGGCAAAAAGTACCTGCGGGACGCAGTACTGACGCTCCGCTGCCGCGCAACCACCAAAGGCCGCACGTGCATTAAAGATACTGCCTGTGAGCGGGCTCGAACTTGCGTCGTTAAATTAGACAAGCTTGTTACCTTCAGGCAATGGGCCGGCAAAACTTTTGAAGCCCATACCGATTCATCGAAAGGAAGGAACCACTGATGTCGAGGAACACGACCACGGTGGGTCGCTAATGAATATGGAGGTACCGCAACAGTTGGCGTAGAGATCAGATCCATACAACTGAAGTCTCGGCTTGTTCCTCAAGAATATGGCTTTAACGGATGCCAGTCAGTCTATGGAGGATGACAAGACAAGTAAATTAAAAGCAATCGATATCAAGCTGATTACTCTATGACCGCTGCATTCCGAGCACGAGCATTCCTTGAAAATCGGGACAACGTAACGGCTCCATTCTGCCGAGACAATTTCCTGCTCGCACAGTTACACTATTAAGTTGTGCAACTCGTTTACAAGAGCAGGTTTCCGATGTTGGAAAGACATGAAGGAAGTCTATCTGCTCCTGCGGCATTCTTCAGTTCCAAACGTCTGATCTTACGTTCGACTTCAGCATGTCGGATCAAAGGAGCCGACCGAAAAAGGAAAGCAACCAATGATAGGTAAAGAAACTGGTAACTCTGGCTGACTGAAAGGCTACTCAGGGTTGCGGCCTAAGGTTCCACGTATTTTGACAAGCTGTGGAATGGCTGTCCACTCTCATCCAAGATAGTTTCGTTAAAACCAGGTCTCCTGTTGCCCGTTTCCCGTATCCAACGGAAAAAGTTAAGGTTATTAGCGAGGAAAGCGGTTGTCTCTATCTATGACCCACGATGGGACCATCGGGCCACAGCGCTAGCACGCAGTTTCACCAGTCTTGTGTTCGGAGCACGTCTGTGAGTACCTAGAAGCTTCAGAAACTACGTAGAGGCCCAATGCAATTTGATATGACACACGAAAACATGTCTGCTCTTAATACCAGTGATACTCAGCTGTATTCAGTGAGCGCTTATTCAGCTCGAATGCCATTGTACATCGATTCACATTCAGAACATCTGGCATCCTAACATGACAAATAGCTGTGCGCTCACAGCCCCGTTGGGGATAAGTTACAACAACCACATGCTGATGTGGTACACTGATTGCTAGTCACAGCACACTACTTAAATCCATAGATTGACATACTTCGAGACCAAATCAGACACAGCTAGACTATATCCAGTGGGATGACAAATACTGATGGTGGGAGTAGTTCGAGGTGAGACTTCAATAGCGTGGCCAGACGGTAGGTAACCGATCAGTAGGGGCCCACACGGACGATGTTCTTAAAGACTAGTGAACGAGAAGGGGTGACCGAACAACGGCGCGACGAAGTAATTCGTGTTGCGTCCCACGGCGGAGCTGAGTTCTAGAAGCACCAAAAAAGAAGCAGTGGCAACTAGAGAACACACACCAATAAACTGCTAGGGTGTGCGGTCCACGGATGCCAGGCCAGCGCACTTTACCTTGAGCGGGACCTGACTCCCAAGGGGGGCAGACTATACCAGTAACACGACTTTAAATGTCGGAAACTATGCAAACGGCGCTCCGATGTTCGGAACGTGGTTTATAGGATAGGGAGAAGCAGCGTAGCTGGCGAACCACGCGGCCATATACGCCGCGAGTGGACCCAACAGTGCCAATACGCGTTGAAAAATCATCAGCGACAGGCTGACTGTTGGTCATCATCCGAGGACGCAACTGTTCAGAATTAAGAAGTAAGTTACGTGTTGTACTATGGTAAAATAGCGAAAGAGGTGAAAATAGCGGGTACTTGGCGAAACTAATAAGTGAATAACAAAACAGCACCAGGGAAGGGAGACGCTGGTCACAAGACAATTAAAAACCGCACGCACGTGAAACCGAGAGCCAAAGCTGGACTTAATGATGGTCCACAGCAAGCGACGTCAGCTGTTGCGGACTAATGTGAGGCTACGGCACTAACAGGAACATTGTAGATCACAACGAACGTCACACACTGCTCAAAAACACGGAAACTCTTAAGGTACACGGTAAGACCAAACCTACCAATGAGAACCAAACAGATGGAGTTACCGGTTACAAAGTGGCGCCAGCTCAAAGGATTGGGCCAAAACATTCCCAACAAGGTGCACACACTCAGTGAACCTAGAAAGGTTGAAAGCGAAGGACCAGTTTAACGGTTCTTGATGCTAATGTCCAGCAACTGCCAAAAAAGCAACGCGAGATGGAGAAAAGTACCAGTATCTGAACTTTGAAAGTTAAGGGCCAATGGCAGAACGAAAGGTGGATGGAAATTGATGATCCGACTGTCCGGCACAGATGATCACAACCGAGCAGCCGTAACCGTAGGATAATTGGAACATAAAAGACTGTATAGAGAAAGTGAGAACAACGCTCAGTGCGCCGAATCAACTACGTGTAGCCACCCAAACTATCTACATCGACAGTGGCAAGTCTGTTCCGCGGCGCAGTTAAAGGAGGCCAAGTAAACGAAGAAAAAGGCTTGACTCAATAAGACAGCTAATTTGAAACATAATGATCCTCAAGGAAAGATGACGCATGGATGCGTCACATAAATCGAAGAGTGGGACACGATGAATGATCGAATATGTGAAGATGGATGCGATGGAATAGCTTAAGGTAATCGAGTAAATGCATTTGACGTAACGCGGTGACAAACTTGACTTCTTAGAAAAACTGCTATGTACATAAGGATCAGCACGGAAATAGTACGAAGTCATGTAGCACAAATTACCATGAGGGCAAAAATGCGCCCAAGCAGACATATACAAAAGCAACCTGTGCCAACAGAAACAGTCGAATAAACAAAGGAACACTAATCAGCTGGTTCCTCTGCGTCCCCTGAGTTTTCTATCTCCCCAACATGGTGTTTTGTGACCGGGGCACCATCCGATGCGTTGTCAACTTCATCTTCCCGACGGCGCTTGCTCGCAGGCCGACGAGGGCCAGTGACTCCGGCTCCAGAAAGATTGGCGCCGGTATCCTCCTCGATGTCATCTTCCTCTTCCTCGTCTAGGTCGTCATATTCATCCAGTTCGGCCTCCTCGTCTTCACCTAGAGGAAACAATGATCAGAAAAACGCGTGGAAGTGGATCCAAAGCTTAAGTGGTTGAGATGCCTGGAGTCAAAAAGTCAAGACCGCACTGTGAAAAAAATGCCATTCTGCCACTTTAAAGCAAATCATCATCATCAGTATAGTATGATCATTAGAAAAGTATGTAAATTACCTGGCGCATAATCTTCCTCATCATCATCATCCTCGAGTTCTTCGCTTCGCTGTAAGGCTTCGATGCCATATTCTTCTTCCTCGTCCTCTTCTTCATCTTCCTCATAATCATCGCCAGAGTCCTCGCCATCTGCGCCACCCTCGCCAGTGCCGTTTTCTATCGAGATAAAAAGCCCATTTATAGTGGTTACAGGAATGTATACTGAAGCAGGCTAGTGATATTTCGGCCGTGATTCCATTGCAACGCACTGTGGTAAAACTAACGAACGACAGTAAGAAAGAAGGTCAAGTCTAGAGAAAGTTATCATCGTCACGTATAAGAGCAATCCGTAAGGTGCACTGAGTACCACGGAACTGAGACAAGCCCCAACTATGGTAGTTTTCCAGGTCATTAATACAGTCAGTGAACGGAATGAACAACATGCTTATGAACAATAGGCGGCTAGTTGAGACCTAGTTCAGAGCAACCTCACGACCAAGTTAGGCATCCGCAGTAAGCCGGACAGAAGTTTTGCTACCACGCGACTACGAGCCGTACGAAGGCTAGGGACACTGCTAGGTTACCCGCGTCTGCACATGCTTAGACCGATTCTTCTTGGGTTACAAGGCGGAGGTCTTATCCTTTAGGCCATCGGCCAGTAAAGTAGCTGCAATAAGCTAATAAAAAAACAACAGACGCGGGTGTTATATTTGCAAAACCAGCCAACAGCCAGCGACGGAACTGGACTGTAACGTGGTGCGATGGTATGTGTGCTGCAGTGATATAGTGAGTTATGCTGGTGGTGCTTTTTGCACCTCCAGAGCCACCCTTACCAGACTGGCCAGTAGGTAGAGGCCAGACAAACGTAGTCTCCTGGTCCTCCATGTTGGGGGTTGGAGTGAGACAGTCATCAGCAGTACGCCGGCACGCTACCGACGCTCCATGGCCATGTGACTATCGGTCGCGTGTAGGCTTAGTATACCGCGAAGACGCCCGCTTCTACGTGAATTTGAATTAGTGACCTAATGATTGCAAGTCAGGCGTGCAATACGTTCGGCAACCGGAAAGTGGCGCCTTAATAAAACGGACTGTAGCCGTGTCAGCCCCGCTGACTTGCGGTAAGATTTTTGAACCAAAGGCTTTGGTTGAAAACCCTAACGTTCACGTCTATGCCTGGGGAACCTGATGGTATTCTGCCTGCGCAATACAACTGTATGAACTTCACATGATTTCTTGGTGCTCTTGCCGTCGAAGAGGGCATCGAACAGAGTTGATAAGGGTAAGGATACTACTATACAAGCCTTCCCGCTTTCTTATTCCCCTTGTTTCACTTTTTCTTCCTTATGGCCTTGCTCCAAATGCACTTTTATGGCCCCTGATTTCAAACCCACCAATTCTTGCCTCCCACCCCATCTTGCTTAAATAGTCGCTTGGCTTTCAGTTTCGATGTAAACGCAATCACACTGTCGCTCCAGTCCAGTCGGCAAATCTATGTTCAGCCTATTCGTTTCTCTTTGGAGCCCCCGATCCCTGCTAAGAATGGCATGCTACAAGGTGCGCGTTTTGCTACAGATTGACCAACAGGCAGCAGTTGCCCCAACATTAGAGACCCTATCGATCGACATCTGCTGCTTATCGGAAACCCGCCTGCAAGATGCGAGTCCCATGATTATTTCGCGATCCCCCACAAACGACACCGGCAGGATGTTCCCATTGCGTTTGTCTGGTCACGCCGATGTGAGCAGTGCTTTGAGTCCCATGCTGAAGCTGTCTAGGTTGATTGGATCTCAATGAACAGCTGGATGTGCGATGTCAGACTGCCGGGATCGTCCAGAGCTTCGGAGTCGCGCTTAGACAAGCTGCTTACTTGTCACTGCGACCTAGACCCATACAAACCGTAGCCCCATTGCCAACTGAAGACGCTCTTTATTTTTAGAAGCACGGACACTAATGTTGGCTGGCGATTTGAACGCCAAAGTTGGAAAATTGCCCACCCATGCGTTGCATCTGGGTGGCCAACATGCTGTAGGATTCAGTAATGATAATGGTGAGTGGTTGCGGCAATTGTTCGAAGATGTTTATCTGTTTCTCGCGGGCGTCAACTTCCGAAACACCACCAGCAATGGAGTGACATGACGCTCACTTGCTTCAAACCAGCCATGTACGAAAATCGATCGAACCGCTGGAGAGGCTGGGTTAAAACTGTCGCTAAATTTGAAGCACGAGCGTGGACTCTTATCACGCAACCGTCTGTGTCAATCATACAGTTCGCTTCGATGGGTGCATGCGGCGACACTGTGAGCGCAGACATATGTCAGCTGTCGGTCAGATGCTCTGGATGCGTATCAGAGTATGCTGGCATCTAGGCTGAGCTAGCGCACAGTGACCGTAGTAGAGAACCACTGGTCGCACATTGACCGGACGCTATTAGCAGCAGGCATGTGACAAATCAAACTGCCAAGCTGGACATTGAGTCTCTATGCAGTCTCTAAAACTTTTGGACGCCCGTCGACACATTCTGGCTGGGAGCAAACGTAACGTGGCTCGCAGATCTCATGGAGACAGTGCGTGCTAACCTGGAGAGACCTCGAATCCTAGTGGTCGCGTCGTGCATCTGAGACCGATATGGCCATTTCCCTTGGTAACCATCAGGAGTTATTCCGTCTGATACGCAAGACCATATAGGATGAGGTTGGAAGACCAAACCAGTTAATCAAAACCCTTGGAGCATTGGGCATCTTGAAAAACAGTTCAATCAGTTTAAGTTGTCCGCTTCAGCGGCCATTGATCACTCTACTCCCTGGGCCGTCCCCTTGGACTCAAGTTCACAGGCAGAAATGGAACGTGAGATCACACTCAATAAGGCTCTCTCCAAATTCAGGGGCCTGCTCCTTTCGATGATTTGCATAATTTACTACTGAGGCTGAGAGCAGGAAATTGTCCTGACAGATTAGAGCCGCCTCGGAATAGTCCTAATTTTCAAGATGGCTCACGTTCCAAATGCGGAAATCATAGAGTCTGATCTCAGTTGCATTTAAGATACTCGCCTGTCGTTGCTCATAGACTTGCTAACATCCGTGAAAGCCAGGTTTATGAAGAACCAGCTTCCGTCAATTGTTGGAGCATCGCCATACTTATCAACGTGCCACCATAGCCGTGTTCGTCTAGGTCAAAGGTGCCTTCGATTCGATGAATCGATGTGCGCTTTGCGACGCTTCTTAGGTAACGTGTGCCCGCATAGTTCGGGCTTACGGCAAACTGGCGCCTCCCTTCAATATCTCTAGTGCTGTGAGACAAGGATGTCCGCTGACACATTTTATTTTAATTTCGATACTGAGGAAGCCACGGAGACTGCGTTCAGTGAACACGACCTGCAGGACGTGGAGCCGATTCCCAAGTGGTTGAATTCTTGACTTACAGTACGCCGACGAAATTGCGCTCATCTGTGGCCGCTTTCCAACGTGCTAAGTAGCGCTGGACAATTCCGCAATGGCTGTCAGTTAGTTCGAGCTACACTTTGTACCATCGAAATGTAAAATCATCCGATTGTCAGGGACCCACCTCTGCGCTGACCCCTGGTGGCGATCTAGGCAGCTACATAAGCGCTAGCGGAAATAAGGACACAAACCGAATTGCGAAAGGTCAAGATGCTTCTCCTAATCTCCGCTAGTTGTGGCGCCGGCGAAACATCACTCTCGTCAGTTCAACTCTGTTGTACGGTTGCGAAACTTATCCCATCAAGACGACAGTTACGTTCGATCATCGATGCTTTCGCAGCCTAGCTCATGGCTGGTGGAAACACTGCGTGAGCAATGAGCGTGTTCGGCGTCGTGTATTTGGTACATAAAGAGCGAGTGAACCGCTCGGAAGTTATTTCACGAACCAGGCTACGATGGCTGGGCCACGTGTTGCGCATGCTAACCCGACTCTCACAACGCTCGATGTTTGCGCGCCGAGGGTGTGGATGGAAGAAGCCAAGTGAAGAGTTGGTCAAGAGGAATGAAGTCACTCACTTCAAAGATGGCGTCGGTTGGTGTGTCCCGACTGCTTGGCTGGTGCCCAAAGGACGACGGGCACGTTTGGCTGGATACACTAGTTGACATGGAAAGCAGCTTACCTCAATGGCGCTTGTGTTGAGTTTCTTTGTAACTCCCCATTCAGCTTATCACTCTCCTCCAACCACAATCCCTCTCCTGAAGCACAAGATGCTACTTAGCAGCGTGTTGCGTTTTCATTGCATTCCATATTGTTTAGTACGTTTTTTTCTTGTATCCTATCTAGGTTATGCGGTACAAAACAGTTTCGCTCACCTTCACCTAAGGTGTAATGATGATAAGGCGAAATTTACGGTTATTTCCTATATTAAAATCTCTATATGCTTAAGGGCGCTCAAAAAATGCTAGCTAGAGAAAGGGAAAAATTTCGTTCCGGAAGCGGCCAGGGCAACTTCCAGGTCGCGTTCCCGATGTGCGCAAATAAAGTGGCCAACAAATGACAAATTTGGGACTATTTTACAAAGCATACAGGGACAACACTAGATCCGGACAGAGAACGCGGAACAAATCTGTGAAGGTTTACAGGTGCGAGTTTGTGATCCGTCAGTAGGATAATGCACGCAAGAGATGATTAAGTGATATACTGAACGACCGTGTGTCCAACACCTAATGCCAAATTGCACACACTACCGTAAGTGACACGGCGCATTGAATGAGTATGGGTTTCTACATTCCACGTAACAGCATCGGAGAATTCTGTTATCATCATCAACAGCAATACATCAGCCATTTGAACTGATGCTTCGCTGCCATACAACCATGAGGACCTATGAAATAAAGAATAAGAAAAGGGAGAGAAGGGGGACTTACCTGAAAACCTTAATGCCCTAAGCAAACATTCAGGGTCAAGGCGCCTACACCTTGTGTAGACAACATTCCGTCACAAACAGCTGGCTATCGTGCAAAGGCGGCATTGGCGAGACAGCTTCCTTGCGGCTTTCACTGCCACGCGTCATAATCAGCCATTACCCCGCAGATAACTCAGCACCAAACACACTTTAAACAGGCAATCCGATTAGGAGACGGCAGCAGACGCGCCATTAGCGTCGGTTGCGAGCCATGTCCTGTAAAGTCTCGAGCCAAGCACAAGGTGAGTCACTTGGACTCCAACCCGGAAGGCGA